AWWWGAGAMCTGCRCSGCACTATGATAAACATKATATAGAAATAAAGGAAATGATTTAAGTGCTTAATTAGAAGGAGTTTATTTCCAAGGGTCTTTCTCCCGGAATAATTCTAATAATTTAATTTCTAATAATTCTTCTAATTTAGCGCCATTTCTTTTCTTTTTTTTTCCTATATCATGATCAGCCTAGCGTACTTTAGAGCTACGTCTGGCAAGAGTTTCTGTGGCGTTTCCCGTTAACAAACAACAGTGTTTATACCTTTGCGGCATATAAGAACCGGTCAGAGCAATATCTTTACTGTTGATACATTTGTTATTTTATTTTTTTCTAGTTGGAAAACATCCCAGAAGCGCTTGAAAGGTGCAATTCCTACCTCTCCCTACTACCCCAAGGGAACCTAATCACAACAAGGATGGGTGAGACCGCTGTTCTCTATGGCGACCAAAAGGTCATTTTTCGTGTGATCTCGTCGATTCTCGTCACCTTTAACTTGGTTGGTAACGCGTTGGTGGTCATTACGATCGTGCGCAGTCAGTTACTGCGGACACCAATGCACTACCTGTTGGGGAATCTTTGCTTTKCTTACATCATCGTGGCTATTTTTTACATTCCTAGTTACGTCATCAATGACATTTTCAAGTACCCGGATGACCAAACGGCAGCTGATTTCTGCTGTAAGTTTCTGACGTCTCCTAATTTGTCTTGGGTCGGCCTTCAGGCGTCGGTTTTTACGCTAGTGACAATGGCGTTTGAAAGATATTTCGTCATATTACATCCGCGGATTGCAATTGGTAGATTCACTAAATCTGGTCTCGTGAAGGTCTTTGTTGCATGCTGGATCTACGCATTTGTTATGAATATTCAATACTTTGTGCACAGCGTCTACGACCGGAAGATCAACCAATGCGGTGCTAATTGGTCGCCGGAAGTYCGCAGGATAAGCGTTTTGATCTGGTTATTTAGTTGCGGTATTGTCCCCATAGCTGTCATGGGATTCCTTTACGGAAAAGTCGTGCGTAATATCCACGTACGCTGGAAGAGAGAAACGGCTGTTTCCCGTAGGGCGTTGCTAAGATCACGAAGGCGTATAACCAAGACTATCATTCAATTAGCTGTTATATACTCGGTTTTATGGCTTCCTAACATTGTAGTATGGGCTGTAGGACCCAGCTTTAAACAATACGGTGAGCTACTTGCATCCAGTGAAATGTGCTTGCTGGCAATCGGTTGCACAATACCATGTGTTTACACAATCAAGGACGAGCAGTTTCGTTTGTGTTTGAGCACATTATTTACATGTGGCAATAGGGTGGAGTCTTTGCCGAACGAAGTCGAAGAAAAGTCTGTGGTTAAGAAGGTACGTTTTGCAACGCCTTTTGTTTTGGTCCCAAGACTTGAAATGGAACATTATCGTGGTACATGATAAGCAGCCTGAGGGGAATTGCGCCGGCTCTAGTGTGTCTATCAATCAAATGGTTTTGATCAGGTTTTGCAGCATCAGTGTCGTGGTGCACGATACAGAATCGGAGCAAACTTGAGTTTATTATGGAAGGGGTAATACGTTTTGCCACACCTTTTATTGTGGCCCCGAGACCAAAATGGACCCTTATTGATCCGTCCAGATATCGTTCCTTGTGTGCTCCATGAAAGGAGAAATTGTCTTGTACTCGGTGTGTCCGTAGATGGTAGATAAGGCCCATCTGTGCAYGGAAAAGCGACCACATGGTATTCCCCACATGTGGTCTGTGACTTCTATAGAGCTACTGACTGATCTTTACGGAGTTGGCGTTTTGATTAAATGTCTTCTTTAGGGGCGTGTGCAGGGTTCTCATGAGTGGGGGTTCGTTTCCAGCTTTGTTGTGGCTTCAAGAATGCAAAGAAGCGCGATTGACTGCAAAATTGCACGAGTAWTATTTAGGTCCACACCAAACAAACTGTTAGACTATCCAAAAATGTGTTCATGCTATTGATTTGCAAATAAAGTCTCATTTTGGCCAGTTTACACTTGCRATTTTTGCAGAGCGATTCTCGAGGAGATCGTCGCGCCACCGTCGCCTGAGTTTCGTACTTGCTTGAAAATAGGCTGCAAATTCGCGGCGATTTTCCATCGCCGAAGCTATCGCAGGGTTGCATTTTGCACGTACAAGTTTACCTGCTCGATAGCAAAGTGGCGACTTATCGCGCTGCAAAAATTGCAAGTGTAAACGGGTCTTTTTAAAGACTTTGTATGTCTAGGAGGGGGACTCAACCAGTGCGTACGCCCTGGTTGTCTTGATACTCGATTTTGATATCTTCACAGAAAGTTTAACCCTGTTATTGGCTTGGGTGCACCATAATATGTATAACAATAAGATTGAAGATTGTTACATGTAATAAATATCAAACAAAGAGGTACATCTTGGACATATTTACTTCGATTATTCAGTAAATGTGCACTGCTGCTCTAGCAAAGTGGCGATTATCGCGCTGCAAAAATCGAAGTTTAAATGGGACTTTTCAAAGATCTAGGAAGGGGGATTTAGGAACCCCTGCAACTACTGTTTACATAAGATAGGGAGTGAAACGAAAACAAATGAGTTAGCCGTACCACGTAGGGGCACCCTATCTCATGTAAACAGGGCCTTAGTAGAGGCTTTATGCATGTTTTTGCGGTCATCTCTTTTCAGAAACACTACTGACAAATACTTGCCCATTTGCTTGGCTCGTGATTGCCAAGCTCTTTTGTTCTCGTTTTCCACACCTCTCCGTCCCCCCCCCCCCCCCCCCCCCCCCGGAGACTCGAGCTTTAGACAATTCATAACAGGTGTAATTGTGGTTCAAAATAGTAATATCAAGTAATATTTGTGGCGTCAAGAGTGTCAAGAGTGAGTGTGCATACACAAGTGGACGTCAGCCGCCCTGTCATGGCTTTAAAAATGGAGATTGGAAAAGTATAACAAATGTTATGCAGGACTAATAAAGAAGCCGCATCCACTTGCTGTTGTTTCTTTTATAATGTATTGCTTTGTTTTTGGGTCAATATTAAAACTAGGGAACAGTTTCTATTAAATGCAGTGATTTCCTACATTACCGGGTACCCTGTGGCAGTTCTTGCGAGGTCGCCAAGCAAAAAGTTTTCACAGTGATTTATAGCTTTGTTGTTTGCCTTTTTAGTTGGAACTGAGGAAGATCAAGATGACTTTACATCGATCAAACGTTAACCAGGGTGATGTGCAGGCCCTTTACCGCAAGTGCGCCTTTTTTGGCATTTGTTTTAGTATTTTTGTYGGCGCRATGTATTGCATTTGGCCATCGAGAACTTGTCCAAATTCACCCGACCTTGAAGCCAATCCATCACAGAGCATTGACTACTATCACAGATCAGGCCTATCTACGAAATTCAACGATACATACCCTTTAAGTMAACCCGAGAAAACTGCAAACGGTATAAGATACAGGATTGGTGTGATAGCTGATCTAGACGAAAACTCGAAGTCAACGAAGACGAAGAACACATGGACCAGCCATTTCAAACGAGGCTATCTGACTCTAAGCCCAGATCGAAAGGTTTCTGTCGAATGGGATAAAGAGATTGTAGTGTTRTCGTCTACTTTATCTCAGAAAGGCCGYGGAATGGAGTTATCTGAGCTTATTGCTTTTAATGGCAAGTTGTACGCCGTCGATGATCGCACTGGTGTTCTGTTCCACATAATGGATAACCATGTTGTAGCTTGGGTTGTACTCCCCGACGGAGACGGCACCGAATCCAAGGGCTTCAAAGGAGAGTGGTTGGCTGTCAAGAGTAAGACTTTGTATGTAGGGGGTCTAGGAAAGGAGTGGACAACCACTGAGGGGGTGTTTCAAAACCACAATCCCCAGTGGGTTAAGAGTATAGGTGCCAACGGCGATGTCGTACATCATGACTGGGTCCCTAGATACAATGCTATGCGTGCAGCCATGGGAATCATGCCCCCAGGTTACATAATTCACGAAGCTGCATGCTGGAGCAACAAGCATCAACAATGGTTTTTCCTCCCTCGCCGTGCRAGCCATGAATCTTACAATGAAAAGGATGATGAACACAGGGCCACAAATGTTTTGATAAGCAGTGATGAGCATTTTAAAAGCGTCCATGTCCGTACTGTTGGAGAGTTGAACCCAACACATGGRTTCTCATCATTCAAGTTTATCCCAGGGACGGATGATGAATTGATCGTAGCTCTGAAGACTGAAGAAGATAAAGGAGTCATTAGGTCTTATATCCTTGCCTTTGATATTCATGGACAGAAATTAATGGAAGAAACATTGATTGGTGACAATAAGTTTGAAGGCATTGAGTTCATTTGATGAYAGTTGATTCTAGCTACTATTATTTACTTACAATAATGCATCTGTCAATTGAAACCAAGGCCTCTGAACCCCAGCGTAATATTAGTGGCTAAACAAATCACTTACTTTGATTTAGACATTACTTCTTCTGCCTTCACATTGATTGTGGTGTTAAAACAGTGTTAATCCCTGGCTACAAGGTGTTAATTACCCAGGTCTCAGGGTTTAAGGGRATTTCAATTTACTGATGCTTAATAACTTGTATTACCATTTACATTCACAGGGTCATAACAAAGGATCAGGGATCAATAAAATGGGATCAAAGTGATAGGAATGTAAAAGATCCACATGGCATTTACAGAACAGGGCCACTTTGATAAATATACATCATTAGCTAATAGTCTCCACGGTTCCCTGCACCATCTTGAAAGGTAGCCAAGCCTTTGCATCGAAGTGAGACAACTGTTGAGCRTGTAATAATAAATACCTGTGAATAATTGTCTGTAGGTGTGAAAAATGGTTTCTATCATTGCACACTCAACGGTCGTCTCGCTTGGATGCAAAGACACGGCTACCTTTCAAGATGGCACAGGTAACCGCGAAGAAGACTTTATATTGTACCATTCAAATCCATTCATTAAAAAATTAGGAATKCTGTAATCTGTTTGGATAAAGTTATTATTCCTATCACCTGGATTTCCAGTTATTTGMTCAGATATTTGAATGGTTTCTGGTTAAGGAGTTGCACTGTAATGTTGTGCAAAATGATTGGTTGTCTGAATTAACGTATTAAAGATTGCATTCCTTGTCATGACCCTACTGTACATGCTTACCATCAAAGTCTGTTTGATAATATAAAAACATCAAAATAAATTTAGTAGCATTAATGTACAGATTCTCTTGCCAGATATAAGCAGTTGTCTTTACTCATAAAATAGCTTTCTTTAAAAGTAGCATAAATGCACACATTAAAGCAAAGGATATCTTTATTAAACTTTCTTATAAAGAATTTAAAATGGCCACCCATCTCTGGCCTATGATACACTGTATAAACAATGATGATACAATGTACAGATAAGATGGAAGATATAAAGATCACAACTGAAGCAAGTCTAGAAATATGATTTCTATAACTGTTTCTTTTCTTTCAAGGGTGCTCTCAATCTCCCATTGTAAATCAAAGTACAACAACACAAGTAGCCTTTCATATTTTTTTGTCAAATATTTCTGTGACCAAGGAAGCCCTGTGTTTGATCTCTGATTTCYCAAACGTTATAAGCAAAGTATAGTGTTATCCCTGAATCAATGATACATATTGTASAATTCATCTTATTTGTATGTGATCACAAACATGAAACATTTGTAATACAATTTGATCATAAAACCWTTCTCTAATGAGAACTGTTACGTGAGTGATTTCTTTAGAATCAATCAATAAAATCATATTATATAAAAAAATTATATTGTATTTTATAAAGCACTTTCAAAATCCAACTACATTACAGTTATGAAGCATACAAATGAAAAACTAAGTAAAAAAACCGATCAGCCCTCTGTTACTATGGATACATTCCGAGTAAGTGCCACCTTAACAACGTCGACTCAAAGCCTGCGATGCCTTGTGGGTAATCATTGCGAAGGCATTCATCGAGGAAACGAAAATGTTGTCGGCAGCTGCGTTGTTGGACGAGCTTATGGGCACAGATCGCGATCTTGCCCCAGACCAAAAAGGAAAATCAACACACTGGTCCGACCACCAGGTATTTATCTAACTTAATGTGAAAAATAATCGTTATTCACGCGTAAAAATCGCTTCCAACTTCAACCCTCGTGATTTCAAAATGGCGCGTGCTATAAGCTAAAGTTGAAGCTACCGTACATGTATTTAGGAGTTTTTTTTCTAATTTCCTCAATAATTGCTTTATTWTAGGTTTGCAAATATCATCTTTGTGGATTCTGTCCATCAGAGCTTTTTATAAATACAAGATCTGACTTGGGTAAGTTAATAGTTTGAATGAAAAACTCTGTCAGATGAAAAGCTATGTCAGCACACATCGAGAACACTTTTACTTTTGGTTTCAAATATTCAAATAGTCATTATAATATAACTGTTCGCATTACAAGTTGTTGAAAAGTTCTTAAGACGTCTGGTACAACGCAGCATTTGCTTACGTTTTCGCTCTGAATTCTCACAATTTTCTTATGAAGAGAAATTTGGTCTGGTTGCACATTGACGCAACATCTTTTTTTTAGAAGGAATATGTGTTTGTTACTACTAGGTCTCTTATTTGGTTGCATGTATTATATATTCTTGGATTTTTCATTTTTTTGAAAAAAAGAATGTTGTCCACCTTTTGCAACAGCTGCACAATGTTGCTTGCAAAATTGTGGTATCACTCATGAAATGGATATTATTAATATACCCATTCCCTGAAACACAACATATGACATACATGTAGCACACACAAGTGAAAGTAACACATTTGTGTTACCTCTGTAAAAATGTGTTCACTACACTCACTTGTAAGAGATCTTTTCAACACTTGAAGATAACATTGATATCTCTCTGCGTCTATGTAATATCCTCTATATCTTTCATTATTTAGGTCCGTGTGAGAAATTGCATGATGATAAACTCAAAACTGCGTAAGTCATCTCTACTATCAAATTGCTCAATTTCATAATTTATAATCTTTGTATCTTTATCTTGTATAATGCAAAATCAAACATTTGTACATGTACTTACATGTACATGTATATTGCCTTAGGTATGAGAAAAGTAGCCGCTACGGTCAGATGGGATACGAAGAAGATTTCTTGAGATATCTACAGACAATAATGACGGATGTGGAAAGAAGAATAAGACGTGGACATGCTAGACTTATTCCAAGAGAAAAGGTTTACAATTTACACAAAAACAGCTGAATACACTTCTCAAAATCATGTTTTGTCATTTTTTTGTCAGTGGAAAGTCAAATTCCCACTATAATTACACATATGATGGAAGCTTGTCTTGTTAAAATGGCGACCTGACAACTTTATTTAAAGCTCTTGTCTTGTCTCTTACTATTTTTTCACTAYTTATGTCTTTGTCTCAACTTATTACAATCTACACTGTACATAATTCTGAATTCTTGCATCAGTTTTACATAAGTATGAATTTCTCACACAATGTTTTGGCTTTGGTTTGTTTGTTGAAGTAGTTTTTGCCTCATTTCATTGACATAACATAAGGTCTAAATCTTTAATTTCTTCAATCTAGGATGCRCCGACTGGAAAAGTTGATAATGAGAAAGAGGAAATGCTKTCAAGTAAAATAAACTCATTGGTTGAGCAGGTAATGTTCTAAACTTACAGTACATTGTAAATTTAGATTCACTTTGAAGCCCAGTAAATGTCCAAAARCTGTTGAAGTTCCTAGTATCTTATTACAATACTTGGTGCTTGTGTTTATCTATTGTTATACAATACTCTACTTTTAGGTCGAACAGCTCGGATCAGAGGGTAAAATAGAAGAAGCACAGGGTGTAATGAAGTTGATTGAYCAGCTGAAAGATGAAAAGGAACAGTTAAATGGGGTAAGGAGAAATAAAAAAAACACTTCTCCCTTCCTCACCCTCCCCTCCCCACCCTCCCCTCCCTCACTTATTGTTAATAATGCCAATCTTGATGCTCAGAAATTAAAATTACAATGGAAATAAGAAGCAACTTTGAAAAAGGAGGATAAACTCGGTCTCACTACAAGTATCAGTTTTATAGGCAGTGTGCAGATGCCCTTTTTGTGCAGCAAAGCATAATGGTAGTTGTAGTCCTCACACTTATTACAGAACCCAAAACTTCTCCTTAAAAGCCTTTTTATGCTTCCTTTGTAGAAATGACAARACAACTATTTTGGCTTAATTAGAGAAAGCAAAAACATTTCAGACTGTTTAAGTACTAGAACTACAACTATCATCATGCTTTGCTGGCGTCACTGCACATACCCTATTCTTCATTGTCAATATATTTGTGGAGATATTTTTGAGACCTTTTTAATAATAACTTTCAATGATTATCGTCCCTTAAAATTATGTGCTAAAATCATTATGTAATACATCTACATGTACATACAGTAAAAGGAATTATATGTACTATATTGGTTATTAAACAGATGACATGGTGTACAAAGAAACAATGCCTTTGTGCTCTTACTGACCACACGTTATTCAYTATCAATGATTTGCAGAGAGGCCGAGATAACCACATGACTTCCCAAGAGAAGCAAATGGAGGTCTGTGAGGTTTGTGGTGCATTTTTGATCGTTGGTGATGCACAGACTAGAGTAGACGACCATTTACAAGGAAARCAGCACATGGGATATGCCAAAATCAAATCAACCTTAGAGGAAATGAGGGTATGTTTGAGTAATGRAAAAAAAACAGAAGTGARAAGTTTTAAAGTGTTGAGTTGTTGTGGTGTTGAGAAAATACTGSACACCAAAAGACATCCTCAGAAACTGAGGATGAACAAAATGTTATTTAATGGGGTACAATGTGGGTGGATGAGAGATCAGGCATTGAGTTGGAGTTTATTTTTACTTCAGAGTCGACCATGGAGGCAAAAAAAATCAGAAAAAGAAAGCAATCCTGATCWAGAACGTGAAAAAGAGCAAGAGCGGAAAGAGCGGGATACCAACAGGGACCGAGATCGTGATAGAGACCGTGACCGTGACAGAGAAAAGAGAAGAGACAGAGATCGTGATCGTGATCGTGACCGGGATAGGGACAGGAAACGTGATCGTGATAGGGACTACAGAGATCGTCGTAGGGACAGAGACCGTGATCGGGATCGTGAYAGGGACCGAGATAGGGATCGTGGCAGGGATAGCAGAGACAGCAGGGATAAGGAAGACACCAAAAGGAATGATAAAGATAAGTCCAGACGATCCCGCAGCAGGTGAGTCAGGAGTTCTCTTTGAACTCTTTACTAACTACCAATTTCTTACAGTGTCAAGGCTATATAAAATCATTCTATCAAATCCTAAGACATTTGCTACTTCTCTGTAAAACTAAAAAAAGCTAAAAAATACCTAACAACAAAGGCAAAATRCAATACATTAACGTCTAATGGGRTTAATAAAAGTCTGACTACCACATCTACAAGTTCTATACCAAGATTACTTCATCTGCAGTGTGGAGGAATCGTTGAGAGGTACAATTATTAACTAGATTTTTTTTTGCTTTGAAAACAAAACATTCCGTCCTTACTTTCATGTAACTAGGAATTTTTTGTCTAAAGTAAGGTTTGATGTCATGGTTTTTTATACATAATTTATTGTAATATTGCAAGACAAAGGCATTTGATGAAATCCAAGCGAATGGAGCCAAGGTATCTCAATGCTTTTCAATTATGGTGCTTTTTCGTTCTCTTTTTTTCCGGCTTGTGTTTAACTAAACTCATATTCCAGTGTTTTATCGTCTGGTTGCGTCTTCGTCTACTCAGCCATGTACTGTAGTTACAAAGACAGACTTATAAAAGGTCCATCAGTCAGGTATCCCATTGCATTCAACATGACTTCATTATGGTGTCATGTTGATTGGGTCGTATWTCATAGAATAGTGGTAAAACAAAATGACTTTGCTCTTGGATTCTGGCAAATACATTGTACCATCGGCGCAAAACTGTCTGTATTAGGAATGTTTGGTACAGATAACATATCTCTTAGTTTAGCCTCCTCCCCAGGCAACTCTTTTTTCCTCCTTTGGGCTTCCTTTGCAATGGTCATCTTGGCTGCTAAGGACTAGTGACTAGAAGAAAAGGCAGGAAGAGTMTGGGATTCTTAGTGATGTCTGTGGAGGAGGCTTAGTCTTAGTTACTGGAGTAAAATACATTTGATATCGGATTAAGATAATTGCTTAATTAGAGTATATTATGCTTTTATATACATGTACATGTATTGGTATCCTGTGAACAGATTGAGACTGGATGCATTCTCTAGTAGCAAGTCTGTACTAAATCATAAGATAATTGACTTATTAAAAAAAACATTCAAAGGACAACTTTYATTGTGTTYTYAAGAACAACACARCTATGTGTAACCAAAGAATTCAATCTGGTACAGGTTTATATTTCCCTCRGTGTTTAAGCCTTTTTGGYTGGTAGGATAGGTCATACTTCTTCCTTTAATCTAAGTCATCRGACAATTGACAAGGAAATGCAATATTTTCTGAAATGCTTGAACTATGTACTCCAAAGCTACAATAGACATGTTATTTGTACCATCTTTCACTAATACAGTACTAATTGGCATGTGTTTGCACTAGGTGTGCGATTAATTGATAATCTAATGAAGAAAACATGTTTCAGATCCCGTGAGAGATCGACCAAAGAAAAGGAAGATGAGAAGAGAAGATCTCGATCCCCCCCAAAGTCAGAGTCACCAAAGTAAGAAGAAACCCTTAGTGCTTCCAGCTGCAGGCCTTTGCAACCTGTTAGGTTAGTTGGATTGACATCAGTGTTAATTGTCTCCTAGTGTACTTATAAATATGTCTACTGTAACTGTAAACCTTTTCCAATTGTACATAATTTACGGTAAATTTAGTCCAAGTTTGACTTTATCCAATTAATGTTACTAAAAACACTTTCATGGGTGGTGTACAACTATATATCAAAGCTTATCATGCTGGACATTTTTGAGTGATCTATAATTTATTGAAACATTCAAACTAGTCAAATAGACTTAGACAATAGTTCACTAGAAATTAAACAATTTGAACTTATTTAGTCTGTTTCCTTTTACTGCAAACTATCCTTAGAACAAAAGTATGAAAGAATTTATACATATCATATAAAAGTCTACCTTTTCATGGTTTTTGAMAGAAATTAGTACATTATTGCATTCTTTACTCTAGAACAGGGTGTGATTCATAAGACAAACCTTGATTAATGTTCATTTTAAGCTTTTCCCCCCAAAGGATTGTCATTGTAAATGGACAGAGTAATTATTTGAGATAAGAAATGCCAGACTGTTAGGCTAAGATTATTTATTGATTCCAATGTTTTCTGCATTTCATTCAATCRGAGGGATACAAGAATATATATCAAGTTAGTTTGGTAGTAGTTGTAATAATGTGTTTTTTTTCTTCAATAAACTCCAATGAAAAGTGCTTGAGATTGTATTCTTCATTTTCACTAGACAGCATAGCGGCCATCTTGGAGGAACTTCAACAAAGGATTTCTCATTAGTATATGTTGTTCATTCCTCCAACATGGCCGCCGTTCTTTGGCTGCCCAACTATTGCTTGAGATGGAAAAGAACGAGCTTCGTGCCTTTTATCTATCAATGCGTGCTATTCAGATTACAGTACCTGTTGTATGACGTCACGATCCAGTCACTGTACACAGCTCGTTCTTCTCTCAAGCAATTGTTGGGCAGTCTATGCAAAAACCGACCCCCTATCAACAATCAACAACAATAGAATATTTCAAGTTTTATTTTCATTAAAAAATTACAGSACATTGTGGGCTTCCTGTGTGTTCTTGACACAGCAACCCCATTGTATTACAAAGTGTTTTCCGAGTTTGACTAACAATAAAAAATGTCTATTATTCAAATTACATAAAACTTAATGTTTTATTACTAAGTATTTAAATTTACGTTGGGTGCGTTYAACCGATTTTAAGTTTTCAATTAGAAATTATACAAATGTATAAATTTTATCCACTGTAATATGTTTAAGTTTACATCGGCGGGGTTGATTGATCTGAAAAAGAAAGAAAAACATTCAAATTATTTGTAATTTATCTCTCGGGGWGAAGACAGGTTCAAAACWAAACGTGCGCGCACTCGGGCTTCCCTTGACGCAACACATTCACTCAAGATCATACGTTTTTTTCCATTTYATTTTCATCATRTKCTTTGTYTCCATTGCTAAAGCATTCAAATCAGTGTTCTTCATTTCCTTAAGTGCCGTAACATCTCAGATCAATGATAACACTGGCGCCTCAAGGCAATAAAAGTTGATGAAAATTTTCGGAATAAACCTTGACACAGTGGGAGAGYTAGTAAATTTGATTCATCGCATGGCACCCGACTGCGTGTTTGTGCCTGAATGAATTAGGCGTTGCTGCGTTGCTGTGTTGTTTGCTCATTCTCATTCAATGAAGCGCTTCAAATGTTCTTTGAACATTGAAATTCAGGCTTGCCCGAACTTGATAAATATTGAAAAGCAAACGAAGAACTACCCAACAGCTTTGAAATGCCACGTTTTTGGACAATTACAGCTGTAATGTTAGTTTGTAAAATCCGATTTTTGTGTAACCGTCGGTAATATTTCCATTTTTCTATATTGAAGAGTGACTTAAAAACTCCTGGGGACTATATTTGATACAGGAAAACTTTACTTCTTTAGTTTGTTCTGATATTCAYTCATAAATGAAAGGATTTATAGGGGTGGAACAGTGTTTTTATATAAAATGCGGACAGCATGAGTAAAAGAACAAAAAATACTAAATTCATAGTTACACTGTAGAGTAAATATTTCGTCTGATTTATTTAGGSGTAATACAGCTGCGTCACTGATTYCTTATCAAAATCGGGCAATGTAAAAAGACCCGATGAAGGACGTTGTTSATATTATATGTCCATTGTTGTAAAAAGATTTCTATTTCTTTAAAACGCATTCTAGATCACTTATAGATCCTTTTAAATTAGACAAATAAGTTAGAAATTCGAAGAAAAAGTACATTTATAGTATGTTTAATATGCCATGTTAAGACTGATTCACTTATAAGCACTGAGACGCGTTCTTTTATTTTGTTTTGTCGTTTTTCTTTTCAAGTTGAAAGTAGTCCTGAAAGGCTTTTAATTGCTTGCGGTTTCACTTATATGACTGCAYCATTTGGATCGAAGGTTTTATATTATATAATAGTTGATATTATTTTTAACAGTACTTATACATCTARACTGCGTAGATATGCAACCACCGCGGACCGATTGAAGAGAGTAGTTWTGAAGTGCCGTTCGGCGGCKTACCCGGCTGCCTATTTTACTTAATCAACATTTCATTTGCTCGATACTTCGCACTTAATTTACTTTTCATATGTAGTTAAGTATCGAGATAAAATACGCTTAGCAAATTGAAGGAAAGGAATTTTTTTAAGTACTAAGAAAGTAGAATATTGTGAACTTACTGCTAAATAGGAAGTGTTTAGTGGACTCCTTTAGGAGATTGTTCCCTCCGTTCATGGCGCTTGGCCTTGCGTCGTTTTTCCCGTTTCTTAATGTCTTTCTTGAGGTGATGTCTTTTGTGCTTTTGCTTTCGTTTTTCCAGCTTCTTCAAATGTCGCATCCTCTTCCAAAGTGCCTTAAGTTCGTGATGGATCTTTTCGATCTTACCATCGTTTTGATGTTTGAGATGTCTCTTTTTGTGTACAAGATGCTTCATCTTTYCAACAAGCTTGCGCATCTTCCTACTTCGCTCTCCATCTTTCATCCTCTTAAATTTCCCCAGTATTTTATCTCTGTTTTTCTTTTTAGCGAGCATTGCAGGCTGGATACCATGAAGTTCCTTCAAAGTCTCTTGGAGTTCTGCTGGCGCTTTCTTAACATCAACCAAATTCATTTTCTTAGTTGGTATTTCTGCTTTTGTAACGATCAAAAATACTGCTAAAAAAGCAGCAACTAGCACTATTTTCATCATCTTGTGCGAAGCTCAGATCAACAGGTTTTTAAAAAGAGTTTAAACAAGATTGCCTCCTCAAGATAGATGTGATTCGTGATCACTCAATACYCTGACGGACTGTTTTTGCATACCCATAGACAACCCATGCGTGTAATCACTATTATGCAGATTTTTCTTTTTGACGTTTTCCTTTGTCTAGATCACTGTCAATGTTTTGATTGGATAATATCATATTTACGTAATGTATATATAAGTTACTTTGATGTGGGATAAGGTATGATTAYTATTGTGGTTTATTGAAGCGCATAACCTGTTGCGTCTTATACAGTTAAAAAAAGAATAAAGAATATAAAAGTTCCTTTTGATATCAATGTACGCGCGATATTTAACACAAGGAACAATTAGGACATAGATGGTAAATTAGGCCCAATTATTGCTTAGTTCGTTACTGCGTTAATATATTGTTGTCATGCACGAAAGAATACATAAATAACACTATTTTCTCAGTGAAGCTGAGCAACTTTTAATTAGTGATTTGAAGTGATTTTAAGCTCTTCAAAGTTGCCCTTCGTTTGTTTTGCGCTGAGATTGGCGCTGGGTTTKATTTTATTTTGTGTACTTTTCATTCTCAATTTCGTTAAGTTTTATTTCATCCTTTTTTGCGTTTTTCATTCTCGTTTTCGCTGGGTTTTATTTCATTTTGAATCCCTTTCATTGGCGCTTTCACTGAGTTGATTTTATTTCTTCATTTTTCATTCGCACTTTGTGTGCTATCGTTTTACTTTTCTTTAATTTTAATTTGTAGTGTTGTCACTATTGTTAGGGTTTTAATTAGAATATACCATTTGCCAATCTTGCCGCCGCCCATAAACATGTTTCTTTTCAACCCAAAAATTCTATATAGAGCTCGGCGCAAAAGCTCAGCAGGTTCTATTGAAAATCCATAGATAATTTTTTTCTTTGAAAAGCCTGATACCASTCAGATACACGGTTTCTCTGTAAAATGTTTCCGTTTTGAAAAATGCATACCTCTTCRGGTTTTTGTTGGAACTTTTAAAAAGGATTTTACACACAGCTATTCTTTAGTATAACAGTTATCTTAGGGATCATTTTTTGTTAGATTAAAAAACATCGGCGGCCATTTGGCAACTGGTCTACGGGCGTATACTGATTAATGGCAACTTTGATTTTGACTTCAAAAGTGCCGAGCGAAACAGGTGGAGAGCGCAGCTAAGATGTTATTAAAGCGTTGTCGTTGTTCGGTCTCGTCCCTATGCAACTGCCGAAAGGAAGTATGGGTAGAGGCTCTGGTACAAGCAACTTGCAATATAATATTATTTTGCCGAGGTAATGCTCGGGGACAGAACTCACGCATGCTCTAACAGCACACGTGACTCGAATATTGCGAGGAATGTTGCTGGAGAGCTGATACCAGAAGACCCCTCATACGCTGTACAATTCGATCCTCAGCAACTTGCATTCATGGTTTTGCGGTGTAGGAGTTCTGAAGATGCTGCATTTTAGCAAGTTCAACGACTTTCCATAACTGCAGCGTGGCAATGCATGCATGGGCGATGCAAATGTGCAATAGCCGTTGGATTCATTTATAATATCAATCATTGCTGATTTATGTAACAATCACTTGTTTATGGTGGAATGGTAGACCACACCTATGAAAAGCGCGCATCTTCAGTCAGTCTAGTCCCTCTCACTGCTTCTCCTTTTGACGGTCTCCCTGTGCCTCCTGCAAGTCTTAGCTCAGTCTTATCTTGAGGTCGGAGGTGGAAATGGAATCGAGATGATAACAGCATGAATCTGGGCACAAAAATGAATCGCAAGTTAACAAGAAATCACTAATGATTGATGAATTGTTAGGAATTATGAATCTAAGAAAGTCTTATGATACCAAGCAGAACTTCATCTTTTGCCTGAGTCTGTGTTCATAACCCTCGCTATAACCCGTGACTGATAATAGCAGACTGACAGTGGGCAAAGTTAAAGGTCAGTAAAAGTTAAAGGTCAGTACTTCATGCAAGACGCCATAAATGGTCACTCTACTAGTCAACTCTCGCTATAACGGACATCCTCGGGACTGTAATTTTAGTGTCCGCAGTAGCAAGAGTCCGTAGTACCGAGAGTTAACCAGTCATTTCTTTGTATTTTTCGCCGGGGATTCAGTTTTTACTGTCCGCAATTTCGAGGTGTCCGTTGTAGCGGGGTGTCCGTAAGGCGAGAGTTGACTGTATATCACTATATTAGGGTCATATCAGGGTTAGGCTCAGGGTGTGAGGACAACGTCTTACATGACGTACTAACCACAATAACAAAACATACTCTTCCTTTCTACCAATTTTCTCCTGCTATACTATCATGTAATGCTCAAGAGATGAGTACAGGAGCGCAGTGTGTGTGTTTTTTTTTTGTGAGTAGTATGCACAGAACCATATACAATTAAAGTGACATGGTAGACCAGCATTCAATGCGGCCGTTTTCCCTTGAGGAATACGCTCAATTATATTGGGGATTAGCCCAAATTTTTCAAAAAAATGCGTGCTTGACCTTGTTCGCGTGATTCATGTAATAGTACGTGTTAGGGCGCAGCGTGGAAAATCGTGAGAAATGTGGCCTTCGCCAAAATATATATGGTGGATTTTTTTACTTCGTTTCGCTAGATCTCAAAAGCAAAAATTAAATATGTCAAATATCAAAGCCTGAAATGGGCAAAAGTCCTTAGGATAGTGCTTTTTTATCATGATGTAATGCTATCTTGGGATTTCGTATCGTGGGGTTTTCCCCGTGAATAATATATGTTGATATTTCTGATGACACACTGCCGTTTAATTGCTATTTTTGCTAACCTAAGCGATTTGTATTATCAAAATCACTTTAGCTAAAGCAAGATAATAAAAAATACAAAGAAGTATAGTGTGCTAAATGATATTTCTTATCATATATGTAACTTTAACCTTTTCGGTTGCTATTATTTTTTCTACGATTTCGATTCTTACTAGTAACGCAATCGTGTCACGTAACGGAGAACGTGCTGACAACTTGGTTTATCTGGAAAAACAAGTTTCKTTGTCACGTGCAGTTTGTCAAACAAAGAAACTCCTTGTTCACATCAATGGAACTGTTTTGAAAAGATATTTAAAATTTTAAAGGATATATTAAGTCAAGGTAGAAAGCTCAACAGGAAGAAAGGAGGTAAGTTATCTTGACATGTATAGGCTTACATTGACTTTTACAATAGTTCACGTACGATGGAGACACTTGTTCCGGTACCGTGATCACACTGTCATTTCTTCCTTGTCAACTTAACGTTAAAAATCCATATCAAACCTCTTCTYGATGACCTCTGATTTAAAGAAAAGGCATTCATTTGGGGGATTATTAGAGTTCCGTTAAGCTTTTAGAAAGGTAAGGAGTACTCGTYCTGTCAGTTGTTTGTGCCATTAGCTGCTTGACTCCGGCTATWTGGAGAATTACGTGACACAAAACAAACTCAAAACAAGTTTGCAACTGGTTTTGTATGAGTAAGAGTCTTTATTTGCCCGACACAAATCGTTGAAGTTCACTTGCTTGTGAGGTTATGGGAAAATTCGCATTTTTCTGGGAGTAAATTCAAGACAAAGCGAACGATGTCTGTTTATACGCTAAAGAAGACATCCTGCCAGCTCGTTTCCAACTTCGATGTAAGTCAATTTAATTTTCTTTTGTTCACAAAATCTGACGGAGTCACTGCTCTTTGTATGGGTCTTTTGGTCGTTTTCTCAGGACCCATTTTGTGCAAATGTGTATAGCATGTAACTTTGAATATTTCTCAAKCCCTGCGTATCGTATTTCATAAGACAAATGTATGAATTTCAAAGATCACTTTTATTTGTTGTTGTGTACGAGTGTAATCAACAACGATATCATCTGTTCGCAAAGAAATAAACTCACTGTTTATAATAAACTTAARCTTAGCAAAGACTTAATTCATTTGAGCTGTGAGCTATAATAAAAAGGATTGAAACACGTCTTTCAACGGTTTTCAACAGAGATTTCTGGCTCCGAGATTCTTGAAATTCTCACGTGCAGGTATCATTATACATTTTACATACGCTAACTTCCTGATTTATATTGAGCGTTGACGTTTTTGCTCTTTGACTTTATTAGTGTCTTCATATAAGTGCGAATAAATCATTCGMGTGTTTATGTTCTATGATAATAAATTTTCTTGCTTTGGTTTGTCAAAAGAAAAGGAGATAAAATGGAAATAAATAATGATGGCAAATTGCTGCACAATACATATCATCTAATAACTTCTGTGGATTTTCTCACGCGAATGGATACTGCACGGGTGTTGAGACAATGAGTGTCTGTAAAATACAGTCATAAGAGAAGCCWTTCCATCCTGTGATGGGCACAGTTGTTTTTCGTATCACCTGCATAAACACTTGGTCCAGCTTCAACCAGACCAACATCTACTGTAATTAGTACTGTACCTTCCTTGTAAAAACCCAGAACACTAATCATTGTTACTATTAAAATAAACTATWAAGTGTTATTGCAGAAAACTGGATCAGTTTTCAAAAAAAAACGTGTTATTTTAAAACTGGAATTATCACATTTATAATAGAGAAAGTTAAACTGTAAGTTATCAAAGTAATTTATCAAAAACATCCATTTCTTATTTGTTTCAGCGTTTTGATTTATCAAAGAATTGGTATGATACCATGCCGACAAACATATCTGTGACCATGGATACCCRTGGTAGTCATGGCAGCAATGATTCTCAAGTCAGMTGGTATATAGTAGTGTCTGGTGTCTTATGTGCTGTTGTCATGGTTGCTCTAGTTACTATTCTGGTGTATCGCTTCTTCCGCAAGYGCTCAGGACCATYATGGATTWCAAMGGTGAGTTTTACATTGCATATCAAACCTTATTGTCAGAACACGTTATAACACATCTACAATATTCATATTAGTTTATTATTGCAAGTGTCTTGATGATGTTACATGTAGGAAGWATCCATATTTCACCCATGACACAAAATCCAAATTCTATGCTTCTGGATTCCAAATTCAGCTATATTG